CGGGGCAGGGTGCTGCGGGGCCGTGTCAGAGCTATATGCGCTGACCCTCATGTATGGGCATGCGATTGGTCCTGTGGCGCCAACAAAGTGTGCTATATGATGAGATATGGAGGAGTTGTTGTTATGAGTGCCTTGGGGATGTGACTATGGGATTCATATTGGGAATCATATATGTTAGGTTATGATTATTAATTGTGCTTATCTTATCTGTCTTGCCTGTTGTAAACTGTATATGCTTGGTATAACTGCTGTCTGTGCTTAGCCCTATCTGTTGAGTCTATCCCTGTTTTAAAAGCTAGAGTTCGTAGGATATACCTTCATGTTCAAAATGGTTTTCGTATATCTATATATACATCTATATGTATTGTATTTCAACGCGTTGGAGTGGGTTACCAACATCTCTCGCTGAACAGATATATTTGGCTTTCAGGCACTGATGAGTAGACACCGGAGCGCGCTAGAGATTCGAGGCGTAGTGTAGATAGTTTCCCTTTTGGCCTGCGTGCCATTTACATTATTACGGAATTTAGTAGTTAGCCTGTGCATCTGAGTTCTCCAACTCAGGTGTGGCATAGCACCCCGTACTCTTGTATCGTATTTTGGGATTTTATGAGATTCTATCTTTATTATATAGGTTTTAAAAGTCTTGAAAATATGGGGTGTTACACTTCGGTCATGAGGTCGGCAATCAGATTTGGTGACTCCCTCGCCAAGAAAGTCTCGCCGTAAAAGGACCAGGAATCGGCCACATAGACCGGAGGTCGGTCCAAAAGGTATAGAAAATAAGAGTAAAGACAAACCAGAAAACGCGCATTTTATTTAAATAAGTACGGGAAAGTACAAGGCCTAGAACTCGGCCAGATGCAAATTAGAAGGAAAGGCGGATCATGGCATGGCTTCCTTCTCTGCCGACGGGCGAGCAGTCGGAGGGCCTTCCAGGAAGTACTGAGTGCGGAAAGGCAGAGGACTCGGCTCAGGCTCCGGCATCTCGTCCAGATACACGGCTGGCTTCCTGTCATCGATCATTTGCAGAGGCCTCTCCAGAGCACTCGGCGACATGGCGACACCAAAAAGGGGAGGAGCCTCCCACTTCTCTTCCACCTCTGGTTCTGGATCCTCCACCACCGGCTCCATCTCCACATCGATAGGCTCCCTACACATCAGGTCCAGCATGTCCGGGGGCACCACAATGGGGTTTGAAGCCGAGTCGCCCACCAAACGCCCTCCATTAGCCAGCCTCTTTTGCTTCAGCTTTTCCAGTCGAGCGTGCTCCTGGTTGCGGATGGACCATCGGTGATCACCATCTCTGTAACTCATAGCTCCGTGCCTTCGAAAATGAGGGGTATTGTGATTTGCACCAACCGTGAAGGGTCCTTATATAGCCCAGTGGAAGCGAATATCTAGGCAGTAGTCACGGAAGGAATCGTAACTGACATAACTGAGCCGGATTAGACGGATGACGCGAATCTCTATCAGAGATTAGTTCCATCAAATCCGCCCGGGAAGAGCGAGATTCGCACGCCGCGCAGAGAAGATTAGATTCACCTGAGATACGGGGAATCTTGCAGATGTCAGATTGAAAAAGGACTGACGATGTGACCGACTCCTTGACCAGTCGTCCAGATGGGTACACGACAAAACACGAAATATAAGACAGGGCGGAAAATAGCATTTTATTGGCAAACGAAGAAGGGTACGAATAGTAAGGAGCTTATTACAATAAGGATAATGAAAATGCTCTTAAAGAAGACCCCTCTGAAATATGAGGCCGACTCCGGCCTAGATAATCACTCGCTAGGGGAGGAGGAGTCGCTTCCAAAGAACCTTCCCCCCGATGGCCCAGGGGGAGAGGGGCAGAACGTATCCCAGAAGGATGGCATGAGCGGCAGATCCACAGGCTCCTCGTCATCAGGATACGTCTCCATGTAACGAGTGTAGTCCTCATCATCCATCAGACCCGTGACAGGCCCGTTGGGGTCGTCCAGAGGAATAGAGAACGTCATGCGGAAAGTCAATTGTTCAGGGACGGCCACCTCCACAAAGGATCCATCTTGAGAAGTCACCCGGGCGGTTGTTGGAGTCGGCGGACGAAGCAAAGGCGGCACGACTTCTCGCTGAGGTGGGGTCGGCGGCTGAGAAGCTGAGGAGGTGGCACCCGCAGGAGATCTTCGAGGAGTCGGACGAGAAGCTTTTCTCTTGCTTTCCCTCTCAGGCCGAGTCCGCTTCGAAGGAAGGGGGTGTCGGGGAGAGCCGAAATCAATCCGCTTCCCTTTTAGAGGTGAGCGACCCATGGTGGACCAATGGAAGAAACGAGAAGAATAAGAGGCCTTTTATAGGAGCCGCACAGAGCTAGGAGAATCAAAACGGTTCCGGTAAATCCGGGGAGATGGCAGAGAATCCGGGCGTAATAAGGGACATTCAATGCAGAGATTCGGAGGTCGAAATAGATGTTCGGCTACTACTTTTCCTAACCCAGGTTGGCGGACTGGGTACAGAAAAGTGAGGGACTAATTGATGGGGTGAGGACCCCGGCCCAAGAAAGTTTGGCCCAAAGAAAGGGTCCGAGACAAGAAAGGTGGGCTGGTGTCAAAGGAAGCCCGGGAGTCGGCCCAGGCCCAAGCACGAAGACCTAATTCAGAGCTGCTATGAGGAGCCCAGTGGGAGTTTGGGCCGGGACGAGGAGTCGACAGGGGCCCAAACCCAAAGAAAGACTCGGTTCAAGGAGCGGTTGAGAGCATTAAAGAGACTCGTTTAAATAGAGAGCCGTTAGGGCATTGAAAGCAGGACTCGGTCAGGCCGTTACAAGATCGCGAGAGCCGTTGGCCGACCTAGTAATGGCGTCCAACGGCTCGGCGCTGTAATTAGCTTTGAAGTCGGCCATTAAGGGCCTTTAAGTCAGTGGGGGAGGAGCCTGCTATATAAAGGCCCCTCTACTCTTGTAAGAAGGACAAGCAAAGACCCAAAGAAGGGAGTAACACAAAATTATAAACGAGTGCTTCACTCCAATATACATTTTATTGAAAGGTGTATCCTCCAGCTAAAAGGTTGTGTTGGACCTCCTTGGGCCCGAAAACCCAAAAACCATCAGTATGTATAATTGTAGATTGTAGATTTAAAATATTCGTAGTATATGTTTAACAATTATCCAACTCTAATTGGAATGAGGTTCGAACCTAAGATTTTTCTTATATCAATTAATGAGTAAGTTAAAAATAATAAATAGTTAACGGAATATTCTGTTACTAAAGTTTATACTAACGGAATTTAGGTTATTTAAGGAAAGAAAATAATATAATTGTGAACAAAGAAAATTGAATAAAATATTTAATATCCAAAATTCTAGTTACATTGAGTATCAATGAATGCGGTGTGGGTACAAGTCTCTGGATGATCCTCTGATTCTTCAATTGATGTCTTGAACACTCCACCATTGAAGGGCCTCCGGGTTTCAAGTGGCTTGATCTTCAAAGAAGGGCTTGTATATATAGTTTGTTCTTCTTGAAGGGCATCCGGGTTCAAATGGCTTGATCTTCAATAGAGGTTTGGATCAACATGTGGAGGAGGATGGGCTTTTACTTGATCACATTTTTATTGTGATCTCTGAATAAATTTGATGTTTCTATGAATTGTTCCTAAGATCTGTGATTACATTGAAAGGCTCTATTTATATATAGCTGTAGGATAGAGAGTTTTGATAAGCTCAAACTCTTTTGATATTATCTAATTAACAAATTAGATAATATCAATATTATCCATACAGAAATTCAAATATACTAATATTGATAAATAATCAATATTTATCAAAATTTATGTGTCAACAATAATAGAGAGTAAATAAGGAAAATCATTAAAAAATATTAAAATCAAAATAATATGAACCATTCATTTTAAGAAACAATAGGACCAACATTTTTTTGTTCCAATTAAGGGCCTAACATTATTGGCTCTTATTATAATTGTAGATTATTAGATTCAAATCCTTTAGTATTTATAAAACCATTACCTTTTACAATGGAAATGCACTTCATAGGCAAAAATAATGTGGGAAATTGATGAAGATGAATTGAGAACATAGAAGACAATCAAGATATTGACATCTTCCAGTTTGTCAACTTATCTTTTGATAAGTTTGATCTAGAGCTTGTATTTTGTTTTATGAAGATGTCAATGAAACATAAGCAATTAATCAAGTATGTTCTTGATTTTGCATTTAATCAAGTATGTTCTTATTTAGACGGATGTGTATATTTCGATTTTAGGAATATTATACACATGCAATAATTTTCAGATCTAGAAATTTATGAGTATATCAACAAAGAGTTAGCGCTGGAGTATTTATTTTTTTTTAATATCTGTTATGTGCAATATTTTTGTTCATATGTGCGTTTTTTATATAGATTTTTTATTTTTTATATGCGTGTATATTGTCGGATAAATTTGGGTTTATTATTATATAGATTTAACATCCCATGTGTTCAATTTATATGTCATATTTTTTTTTGGACTTTATTTGAGTTCAAATGCGATTATATTTGAAAATTGTTTAGTTAACTGTTGAGAAAACTCTGAGTTCATTGGTTTGTGAGAAACCTGCTCATCTTGCAGTTTTCTTGATATATCATTGTTTTTCGGAATCAAAAGATCATTTTCACTGGACTCTATTTCTGCTTTGATGGATGGTTAGTGCTGCAGTGGTTAAAGCTTTTGCAGATGAATCTGCAAGCTCAAAAACACACATGTAAAATTCCAGTTTAAAACTAAAATAGCTTTATGTAATGTAGTGTAGATGGGATGAATCCTCCATGTTTCTGATATGAACTATGTACTACGACAAAAATGGAGGCTGATACCAAAAGTGGATGGAAATTTGCACCTTCATTGTTTCATTTCCTAGATGAGCAATATTTGCTATATTGTAATACTGACTAATTCTAATTATGATTATGCACCAGAACAGAACATGCATAAAAATAGATTTCCAGTGAGATCAATTTTTGTTTTTTGTTTTTTGTTTTTTGTTTTTTTCCATTTACCTCAACATTAGAGTGTAAGCTTTTAAATGCAGAAAATAATATTTCTATTATTTGTATGCACATGTCCTCAAAAAACTATGGCAATATTGCAGACGACGGGAACTAAGATGTCTGGGTAGAGCTACAAAGAAGAGATACATACAGTGAACACCTTCTTTGAAGGGTAATATTCTTTTATAACTTTTTAACTATATTTTTTTACATATATATATATATATATATATATATATATATATATATATATATATATATATAAATAATTAAGGCTGTTTCATTTATATATCAGATTTTATTTTTGGTTTATTTTGGTTCACATGCAATGAATATTTTAGAATTGCTTTATTTCACAATTAGCAACGAACAACAGGTATGTTTTCATTGTACCTTGTTAACAAATTTGATATACGTTTCAATTGCATATTTTTTCCTAGAATTCACATTACTTTTTTTAAAAAAAAAAATTTGGTGCAGATTTCACACACATATGTAAAGCAAATCAGGTACATATTGCAAATGAAATATTAAGTCAATATTTGATTGAGTTTGAATGTAGAACAACAGGTATGTTTTCATTGTACCTCTATCTTCAACATCGTGTTTTCTTTTTCCACGTATGGTAGTTGACCCCTTCACTTTCTTCATTGTTCTTGCAGTTCTTTACTATGCACATACACAACTTTTCTTTGAGAAAGAACATCTTTGTTTCTTAAATGGCATGTATATATAGATACCAACTTTTAAAGAATTGAAGTCACTATCAAACATTAGTATATGAGAGTCAAAGCTTACCATCAACAATTAATGCCTAGTAGTAGGGCTGCTAGGTGTATGGGAAAAGTAGCAATATTGTGTGTATTGGATATTGTGTAATTTATATTGTACTCGAGAAAGGTGATGGCTTGTTTTTGTACTTTAAATAAGAAATAAATTATTCAAATATTATATCATATTTTAACAAAAAAGCTTTTACAATTTAAAAATCTAAAAGCCTAAAAACTTCATAAATTGTTAACAATTTTTCAGTAGAATCCAACAAAGCTGAATAGGAATTCATTCTCATCACCAATGTGAGGTTAGATAATAAATAGGACCAAAAAAGCTCAAAAATATAATGCTACCTTGTATTTTGTATTGCCGTAGGAACCAGATCCATGCGTCTTGTTAGTTTGCACCATGCCTGTTTCCCCAAAGAGGTCACCTCTGAGCATATCACAGTCTAATGCAACTACAGCTCAATCTCTGAATAACTTGAGTCCATTGGTACTATAGTGAAACATTAGAAAAGCCAACAGGGGCATTCACATCAGATAATTTCTTCCTTTTTTCAGTATATGCATAGACAGATTTACAACAAAAGATTGAATTTCATGACTACAATTCACTTGGCAGTATATGCATAGACAGATAAAGGACTAAGGATTGAAATTCACAACTAAAATTTACTTGACTTCATAAAATGCTAAGAAAGATAGAAACAGTGTTATAAATAATATATAATGCGCTGTAAATAATGACACTAAATATGAATTTAAGAAAAAAGAAATAAAAGAACTGACCTTGTATACTATTTACTATGCAAATCAAATTCAATAACCAAGCTTTATTTATATGATATTAACTTCTGATCAGCATGCATGTTTCTTTCTAGTACTAACAGAATTGTTTTATAAATATGGTGTAGATGGTGTAGAGTTGAGACACATATCCAAAGCAAAACAGGAACATGGTGCAAATCAAATAGTAAGTGCAAATTTGATAAAGCTTGAATTTAAAACACCATGTATGCTTTTGTACCTTTTTTGTTCCTATAAAAGTTTTCTCATTCCACATATGCTTGTTGATCCCTTCATCCTTTTCATTCTGCCTGCATTTGTTAACTATTGATCCCTTCTCTAAAAGTTTTTTGTGTGTGTGTGTGTGTGTGTGTGTGTGTGTGTGTGTGTGTGTGTGTGTGTGTGTGTGCATATTAAACAACTTACGTAAAGTAGAGTTCCAAAAGAAAAGGATGTTGGTATTAACTCAATAGTAGATTCCTTGGTCTGCTGAAGATGAAGCTGCGCACCCACAATAAACTGCCCGGATATCTCTTTCCTTGATTGCAGAAATATGTAATTTGTTTTTTAAGTTTGTATTTGAATAGAGGCTGAAGTCTCAAAACATGTATCTTCTTCTATATATAAGCGTGGAACTAAGGTAGTGAAACTGTAACATCGATAGCCATACCTGCTGCCGTAAAAAATTAAAGGAAATACCAACTCTGCCAACAATACAGCACTCCCCGTACACAACTTGATTGAAACCACACGCTTCCTATCAAGAAGCAGGTGTGGATACTGGATACGTAAACAGGCAATAGGCTACAACCCTACAAATATGGCCTTCCACTCACACAAAGCGCCATCGTTTCCCATGGGCGGGAAAACAATTTTTTTTTTATTTACCAAAAATATTTGGATTTATTATAATAGAGGATAGAGGATTTTCTATTCCTTGTTCCGTGCAACATATGTGCTTAACTATTACTCCGTACTTTTTAATTATTATTTTTCTCTTTGTATCTCCCGTCTCTACATACACTAAGTAAGAAGAGTGACGAAGAATATAGAAATTCAAGTATAGAATTAAGGTGATCTAACATAATACACTTTACTGATAGTTTTGTCGGGACTAGGTCCACTATAAATTCGGTATGAAAATACTAATGAGGATAGGAAAATAATAATAGTATAAATCGGGTATGGAAATACTAATGGGGGTAGGAAAATAGTAATAGTATTCAGGGACGAAGTCAGAAAAATATTTGAGTGGGGGCGAAATTTAAATGACGTTAGAAATATCAATTACAAAATATCACACAGTTATAATAATTAAGATTAAAATACAAAATATACAATAAATTACAATAGAATGTTTTTTTTTATAGATTAAACGATAGTTAGAGTCGGAGCCAAAAATATACTTGAGTGGGATGAAAATGTAAAAATATTTATGACAAAATATGAAACATAATCAATTAGATAAAATAATTTGAATACAATGAAGTATAATATAAACTTGTATACTACATTAATTAAATGATTCATAGAAAGTAGACTAAAAGAGATTTTAATTTGTTAATTGAATGATTCATAAAAATAGGGTAAAAAATATTTATTTTGGAAAGGGATGAAAGAGATAAAATAAATAAGTGAAGATAAGGAAAAATGTGTTGAATGATATTTGAACCTATAACCATACACTATTTAACATCAAATTTAGAGTTCTACCAACTAAACTACTCTAACTATTACTATTTTAATTTAAACATAAGTATATATTTTATACAACATTTAATGTTATATATGTCAATATATACATACATATAAAGGGGTAGGGTGGGGGGAGTGGGGGCAGCTGCCCCCACTGCCCCATACTGCCTCCGTCCCTGATAGTATTGCTTGTCCAATGGAATGTGTACAAAGCCTAAGATACCGTTCTAAAATACTAATGGGGATACGAAAATAGTAAAAGTATTGCTTGTCCTATGAAATGTGTACAAAGCCTAAGATACCATTCTAAAATAACGGTCCAAATAATAGGCAAATAACCCACACCGACCACTAACCATGACCCAAGGCAGCCATGGTGTGGCTACAGCGTGCCAGGCCACACGGCCAGGGTTCCATCGGGTGCACCCGGTATGCTAGGAAAAACTAGTTTTTGTATAACAACGACAACAATACCACCACCACCACCAATAACAAAAACAACAACAACAACAACAATAACAACAACAACAACAACAATGTGCATTCAATTATTTCTTATATGTGATAACATAGTGATATGTGAGTGTGCTTATCATATTAAGTCCTTATCATATCTAGAAATGGAAACTAAAGTAGCGAACCTGATTGGTCGATCTTCTCTTCACACTCTAATTAGATAAAATATATTAGAACAATTTATTAGGCTATGTGAATTTTATTGGAAGGTTTGATTTGGGTTGAAAAAGGGCTAATTTTTGGGGGGGTTTTTAAATGTCCTCGGTCACACCCTGTTATAAGGTGATACATAGAATTAGGACGATACTGCAAGTGAGGTTCACAACAAATGGTTGATTTCTTTATAAATCCTCACTTATGGTCAATCATTGATTCCTTTTTGAAATGTAAGACAGGTCACACACTTATGTAGATGAGTATAAAATGAAATCATCTAATTAGCACATGCTTTACCTGGTACATTAACAGTTACTTTTCTTTCTTTATTTCTCCCTCAGTGTCTCTCTAAGTCTCTTTACACACACTAAGTCAGAAAAGTGACAGAGAGCATATGAATTCAAGTATACAGATAAAAGTAATCATACAGTGACAGAGAGCATATGAATTCAAGTATACAGATAAAAGTAATCATACATGCCGTCGTTCGTGGTTTTATTCTCTGATCTACATTGTCATGGCCTCACTAAAGAAAGAGTTGATTTTTCTCATACTACAATTCCTAAATGAAGAGAAATATGAAAAGACAGCTCGATTGTAAGGATCTTTAAGGTTAATTGCTCAAAATAGTTGAAACTTTATTTGTTAATTCATTATTTATCCTTATATGTGTTTTGTTCATAGTCCCTTTTGAAGATTTTAATTAGGTTGATCTAGTGAATTTTATTATATTTTATAGTATTAAATAAAAAATGTAGGTTAGAGGAGGAGTCTGGATTGTTCTTCAACATGAGGCATTTGGAGGACATGGTATTTAATGGAGAATTAGAAAACGCATTCAAGTATTTATCTGGTTTGTTGAGTTATTTTTTCTCCTAAAGAGCATATTCGCCAAGGTGGAGATTTGTTGTGTTTGTCTCATATAAGGATTAGGAATATGACAATTTACATAAAAGACTAAAAGTGTTTCCAGTTCAAGACAAACAAATAACATTAAAGACATCACCAGGATGTTTTGAGATCTTATGAAGACCTAAACAATTCTAAGGATGAAGGATCATTTCATATATCATATTTTAAGAAATGATATATTGTTTAACAAGATCTGATTGCTCATATTTTAAGTGCACTAAGCAATCCTAAGTTCACTATGAATACTTATAAATGCACAATTAATACAGATCCATCAACCAGAACAAGGATTGCTGAACTAACAAACAGGAACTAAATAAGTTCACCTGCAGACAGTTGACAGAAAGGATCTAGAAATACCCAGTTTATGAAGTTTTGCTTTAAACGAAATAATAAAGAACTACTTTATGATTCAGCCCTAGACAAACCGAGTATGGGAGGTTTGCAGTCCTTCCCACACCGAAGCAACCTAGAGGTAGATTCACTAATGGGCGAGGAGCAGTCACACAGACGGAACAGTCAACAGAGATGGATTTATAGAATTACCTATTCTCACAGACGGAGGAAGAAGTCTGCTGCGACGGAGGACTGCAACGGCGCTCTGATGCGACGGCGACGGCGCTCGGCTGCGACGGGGACGGCGATCGGCTGCGACGGCAAGGGCGCTTGGCTGCGACGTCGACGGCGCTCGGCTGCGACGGCAATGGCGCTTGGCTCCGACGGCGACGGAGCTCGGCGGCGACGACGACGGAGTGGGACTGCGATGGCGTTCTGCGTCGGCTGCGTCTATCACACTATCTGAAACTTAGTCTATCTAAAACTTAGGCATGTTAGGGTTTTGATTGTTTTTATTATATTTGATTTGATTTGATTTTAAGAAAAGTAAAAAACGACGAAGTTTATTGCTAAAAGAAAATAAAATTTAAAAACACATATTGCGACGGAACTAATTCCGTTGTTAATTCTGTCGTAATATTTAGTCAATGCACCAAAAATTATTTCTTTTCGTGATGTAAACAAGTTTTTCGCTATTTCGCGACGAAACGCAAATCGGTCGTCGTTTCCGTCGCGAAATGGACGATGAAATTTAATTCCGTCGTAAATTCTATCGTTAAAATTTTGCCGCCAATATTTCGCGGGTTTTATTTTCACTTTGCGCCAAGTTTCGCGACGGAATTTAGTTCCGTCGCCATTTCCGTCGCAAATTTGCAACGGAAGCTATTCGGTCGCAAAATCGGTCGCTATATTGCAACGGATTAATATCCGTCGCGATTTTCCGTCGCAATTCACAATTTTTCTTGTAGTGGTGTTTCTAGATGCTAGATGTGAAGGTGGGGAGGGGCGCTGTAGTGTTGGGCAGCGCGGATACCAGGAGGGGTCGTGGACCTGGTATCGGTAGGGGCAGCGTGGATACCAGGAGGGGACATGGACTTGGTATGGGCCAGATGCAGGAGGTCAGCTAAACAGGACAGTAAGCATGAGTCACGGCTGGTATAACAGGTCGACGGCTGAGGGGCGAATGGCTTGGGACAAAGCGGTTCGTGTACATGCTTGAAAACGTTTGATGCTGTGTGGTGCATATGGCTGGCTAGTTGGGATGAGCATGGTTGTTCCTACCCATGTGTATATGTGAGATAAGTTTTTTTCTCCTAAGGGGCATAATTGTGAAGGTGGAGATGGTGAGATAAGTCTTTTCTCCTAAGAGACATATTTGCTAAGGTGGAGATTTGTTGAGTTATCTTTTTCTCCTAAAGGACATATTTGCGAAGGTGGAGAAGTCTTTTCTCCTAAAGGGCATATATGTGAAGGTGGAGATGGTGAGATAAGTCTTTTCTCCTAAAGAGCATATTCGTCAAGGTGGAGATTTGTTGAGTTATCTTTTCTCCTAAAGAACATATTCGCCAAGGTGGATTAACAAGAACAAGAAAAATAATAATAATGGCAAATAGGGTAAAAAAGACAAGATTTACGTGGTTCGGCAATGTGCCTACATCCACGGGAGTGAAACGATTCTTATATTCATAGTGATGGTGATAGTGGTGACACAACCCTTTAGGGATACAACCAATATATTTATAGGCATCCAATCCCTATACAATAGGTCTACCCGTTTCATTCTTACCCCTAGTATGAGACAAACACTTATTCCTAATCCATATATGAGACAAACTCAACATGGTTTCACCAACATAGACGATAACCAATTTTCCAAGAAAATTTTCTTTGAAATTAGAAGG